TGGGGACTTGCATCAATAGGGAATTAAGAAATTAGGTAAAATAAACCATATATAATCTTTATATTAGTTAGAGGTACTTATCGATCATACATAAAATGTTTGTAGACCAAACATATATCATAAACTATTTAGTTTTTATAATCGAGCCCGCTGTCAAGTAGTATAGCTATCTCTCGGGATAGTGTATTACTCGTGATATTGTGTTCGATTATTTTGACTATTGATATTTGAGATATTTTCGGCCCCATATTTTCCAAAATCAAAACATTACTTTTCAAAATTACATACATATATTGCATTAAACATATTTTTCAAATTGCCCGACCCAAAATTCCAATCGACAAATTCTAGTGACTCTACTATGGATTAGTTCCTCTCACCATCTTTGATCTGATAATTTTGTTTTCAAACATCGGTAGTGTGTTCATGTCTTTCATGGACTAGACTACTTTCTTCCGTTGTTATACCTTGTTTATTTCTTTCTTGGATAGGTATAATCAACTACTTTTTTAATTCTAGAACCTTCTGTTTAATCATTCTTAAACAAGAAGGTTCTGAAATCTTTAGGGTTTTTAGTGGGGAATCCTCTTGTAGTATATATATACACACACACATATATATATATATCAACTAAGATGTATAAAATTATTTTCATCTTTAAAATATTTTATATGTGATTTACTAAAAGCTAAAAAGAAATTAACTTGAAAATTCACAAATTAAGGGCTTGTTTGGAACTTTTTTTTTTTTTGGTTTTTTTTTTTTTTTAAAAAAAATTTTTTTTTTGGGAAGATAACATTTTAAGTATTTTTTTTAATTTTAAAAATAAATAAACTTCTTTTTAAAAGTACTCAAAGCAATATTAAAAAGTCCTGGGGATTTATTAAAAATCCCACCACTAATAAATATATTTTATTTTAAAAGTGAAATATAAACAAATAAAATTAAAAAAAAAAAAGAATAAAAGTTAATCTAAGTGACCATTAAACTTTTAGCCATAATCTTTAAATAATTTTATGAACTAGATATAAGCCTGATTTATAAATAGCCTTCGCCACATTTTTGAGTTATGAATTTAAAGATATAATAAAATTTATGTAAGTTTATAATTAAAACCGAGTATTTCTTGTATTTACAAACATACCAAGGAACATTTCCGTAGAATATCCACTTAAACCCATTTCATAATCTTTAAACGACATTTGTTTTTTTCTCCAAAACATGAAATAAGAGAGAAAATGAGGGAGAAAGAAAGAAGAAGCTTAATTTGTTGAGATAACATGGTCAATTTATGGTGTGTTTGAGGCAGTTTGTGCGTTTTATGATAAACAACTTATCCTGAAATGCAGCACGCTGGGGGTCGACCCGAGGCCGGTGTTTAGTGAAAAAATGGAACCGCGTTTTCAGATAAGCAAGAAAACCGCGCGATCCAAACGGTACCGCGATATTTTCAAAAACGCCCTCGCACTTATAAGCTGCCCCAAATGGGCCCTTAGTCTGACATACCAACTAAAAAAGTTGACCATCTCAATGTCGGTAACTGCTAAACTACCTCTAATTTTAACATTTTCAATCTTTTATGTATTTTTAAAAAAAATTATTTGTCCAATACTTGTAAAAATTTTAATACTTGGCATATTTTGGAAAATTTTTATTATTTGATTTTTAATATGTTATCATTTGAACTATTTTAGATGTACCGACATAATTATATTGAATCTTTGTTTGATATTTTTTATTTTTTAAGCATGCTTTCTAATTTGAGTTATATAAATTTATTTTAAAATTTGATAAAAATATTGTAGTGACTTACAAACACAAAAGATATTATGTGTGGCATCATTATGATATTTTTTTTATCATATATATTGAACATATTATTATATTATTTTTTAAGCATTTTTTCTAATTTAAGTTATATAAATTTATTTTAAATTTTGATAAAAATATTGTAGTGACTTGCAAATACAAAAGATATTATGTGTGGCCTCATTATAATTTTTTTTTTATCATATATATTGAACATATTATTATATCATGTGAACCACACTATTTTGATTTATATGCAAACTTCATATATAATGTGCTTGATATGATGAGGTAGCTACTAAGTATGATATATTTTATTAAATTTATTTACATGAGAAAAATCAGTTCTATGGTTCAAGTTAGTGGAGATATGATAACCTATGTGGAGGGGTGGACTAATGGGCTTTCCTATAATGGGAATAGTAATATAAACCTTGTATAAATTGAGACTTATAAATGGTGAATATGATATTCTATGAGTGTTGAAGAACTAAGGATGATGACTAGCACACTATACCATATGATTGTTTTTTATTGATAATATATAATATTATATGGTACATGATCTATAATAATTGAAATAAAGAAAACAACTCATATGGTTAGTCAGAACACTTGACTTGTATATTATAAATTTGATGACATAAATTATATGCACTATTATTGTTGTAATACGTTCATTGTTCATTTTTACACAAGTCAATATATTATTCATACTGTGAATTATGAACATTGAAGTCTCATTCCACTTGAGAAACTATAAACTAAGAATCAATATAAATAATTATATCTTGAACTTCATAATCGATGACGAGCCTTAATCCGACAATGAGGGTTTCATAAAAAATATTTATTCATTGCAGGAAATTTCAGACAAAGGCCATATTACAAAATATATCGTTTCCAAGAAATAAGCAAGACTCCAGCTCTAACTCCAAAACTCCCTAAGGTTCTATCGACGTCCGTAGTCCACTAGGAAGATTTTGAGGAGGAAATGAATTACTCAACAAGAGTAGGAATTGTACATTCAACCACAAAATTAGCAAGCACTTGTGACTTGATATCAAATCTCGGCAAGAAATGAATGTGAAACTCCCCTCTATAAGTGAATAAAACCAAATACACGCTTGGCCTTTAAGAGTAGCAGGAAAAGTTCGGGCAACATGTTCTTATGGGTTAGACGTCCTATCATAAGAATCAATGCTTGGGAGCTTTAAACCATATTGAAAAAGGGTGTTGACGACGATCACAACCAAAGGAGAAGACTTTTGAAAATTACATCGAGCAAAGAAATAACTTATATCCCTTAACTCTTCTTGCATTAGATGTGGCAACTTGTCAATAATTACGTGAGTTGAGCTAAGCTCTTTGCACATGTTGAAGGTTTGCTTTTAGGCTTGACTACATAGATTGATGTGTGGAACTAACAATGTGCAGGAGATCGCTTCTAGAGGAGGAATATCGATATCTGGAGGAGATGCTAATTGTGTACCTCTAATCAATGGATTTTGAGGTACCTATACTCCTCCAGTATGCGATATCATCAGTTATCAAACCGCACATAAAAGTTAGAGGATTTTATTTTGAGACTCCAACATTCTTCGTACACGATCTTAAAGAGTTGCGAATGAGATTCATCCATTATTCGTGTGATGTATGTAATTGGGAAACAAAGTAGAGGCTTGGTGTCCCGAACTTCGAGATTGTGCTTTGAAAAAGTGAGTATTAGAGCGAGAAGCTCATGTATTGCATTTGTTAGTTATTAAAAAGGTGTAAACTTCTATAGTCTGGACATTGTTTCTGACAGACGTCTCCAAACTATTGTGTGTTAGAAAATTCATAGTAGTAGAGTGATAATTTAACCTTTTAGCGTTGCACAAAGATCCAACACACAGATCGATAAAAGATGTTGGAGGAACCAATAATTTTTTTTAAGTGAAATAATCCTAGAAAGAAAAAAATCACAGGGTCTAGCACAGTCTAAGTAATCCATAATATTTATAAGTACAATGATGCACCCTTTTCTCATGATAGAGAGAAACATGGCTACAATCTTACACCTAAAATTACATTTATATTTATACATCACAAAGCAAATAGCAATATTAGATACAATAGTTATAATTTAACTACAACAGTTGCAATAAGTAGTCGACAGTGATAGGTGAGGATGGTAGGCAATGGTCAACAGTGGCCGACATATGGTGGTTGATGAGGGTTGATGCCTACGAAGGCCGGTGGATACTCATCATGTCATCTCTTATAACAGACTATGGAATTGCACTTCTCTTCTTTTCTTCCTCACTTCACTAAAGAGAGATGATCTATTTATAATATTTTGGGAATGGGTACTTTAATCTTTTAACTTGTAACTTTTCTAACCACCTGATCGGTAGGTCCATGCCGATCCCACTTTATCATGTGATTTTTAAAGAATTTGAGTATTATGATAACATGGATTTAGCGATCTTGGATTCGCTGCATTTCTCTAGTCGAGACACTCAATTTAACTATAAATATGTTAAAATTGAAATTCATTTGACAATTTAAGTGACAATCCAAAACCTCTAATTATGATTCAACGATTTGATTTGGGCTTGATTGGACCTGAATTGAACAAATTTTGATCGAGGCGATGAGCTTGACTATGAACTTGTTATACAATCTAGGCACAAATAATACTGATTTTGAAATTTAAAGATATTTTATCAAAAATGCATCGAGGTACTCCATAAAAAGTTGTTTATTACACATCAGCTCTAAAAGCCATAAGTGGAAGAATTGGATTAAAAGCCACCACAAAATGACAAACAAGTCAACCCCACCTCCACCCTTCTATGAAGCAAAGGCATGTGCCCCAAAGCACATGCAGTTTAAAAAATTATAAAATTTGATAAATATTCATTTTTTATACAAGTTCTATTCATTGCAGAAATTTTGGCTTAAGTTCGAAAATTTACAAAATTCAAATATTTTGGACAATTCTAAATCATTAGGTTGTCATCAGAATCTGAAATGGTTTTAACACACCTCTCCTTGAGCTCTCCATAGAGGTTACTGATTGATCTTAACAAAGAATTTTTGGTTCAATGCTTAAATCTCATTTCTCTATCGTTTCATCATTCAATCCATAGAAACATACGCATCAAACAAATTCTCTTCCAAACCAGAACCGAGTACAGAATCTGAAATCATCAAACAAAGAATCACACGATCCATGTTCTGCAATATCTGGAACTCTGGAACCACTAATGAATACATATTGAAGAAAGCAAAGAATTCAACTATCGCGATTCAATCAATCAATCAGATCTAGAGATCCAGTTCAATGCCAACAGCCTCTACCCATCAAATGAAACAGAGATGAATTAACCTCACAGCAAATCCCTCCTTGTGGCATATCCATACCTGGCCCGGCGAATGTTATCCCTTCTCTTCTTGTAAACCAAAGCTCCCATCCCCACCACCGCCACTCCCGCCACCGACGCGATCACAACAGAAGCCTTCTTCCCGCCGGTCATCCCTCCGCTACCATCTCCGGAGCTGTACTCGTTCTCGGAAGCCCTAGACTGCAAGTCGCTTTGATCTTCCCCGTCGATCAGATCGAATGGAGGCGTCGAAAAGGTAGATGAATCCGGCTCCGCCGCGGGAGTGGGGAAAGATGCCGAGAAAGGTGAAGACGGAGAGTAATGCGGAGCTAGATCTGGCGACGGATCTGATAAGGGAGAAGAGGAGGATGGCGGGGATGGGAGGGAGAGGGCTTTGAAGGGGCCTGATGCTAGGTCGCCGGGAAAGGGAGCCGGCGCTGGGGAGAGCTCCGGGGATTGGTGGTCGGCAATCGAGCGGTGAGGGAAGAGGAGAAGGAGAGAGAGGAGGAAAGTGGGTATTTTGGCGGGAATGGAAGCCATGGATGGGCGGTGAAGTAGGCTTGATGGATGTAGCGGCGGTCGGGAATGGGTGTTAAATAGAGCACAGGCTGTCGATGAGCAGATTTGGTCCTGCGCGGTCAGACAATACGGGTGGAGAATTAAGAGTGGGAGAAGGGCGGCAGTAGAAAAATTGTAGGGAGATTTACATATTTATTAATGAGACAATTAAAAAAAAATTATATTTATATTTATACAATTTAATTTATGTTTATAAAAATAAATTTTATTTTGAAAATAATTATAATAATATTTCTATATGACATAAAATATTAATTTAGGTACTAGATATATATAATTTTGGTTTATTTTAAATTCATCGGAGTAGGCAAATTTTAAATAAATAAGGTCGGGATGCCCTAAAACTCTCATCTATTCTCACAATGACGGAGCTGACCTCCTCATCTTTAGACAACTCCGACCTTAATAACATTCATCCTTGATGATATGAGATCTAGTGGTGCCCTATGATTATAATTTTTTTGGGGATAATTACATACAAACCAACTAAAATATTGATATTTATAAATTAATCATACGATTTTTTTTTTTTTGAACTAAGGAAGATATATATTTACGACTGCCGCGATCAAAATAATGAAAATTTGATAAAAATGAAAAAAAAATATGGGTTGAGGTTTTATCATGTCGTTTGATAATTGAATGAGAATTTGAAAAGTGGATGAAAAAATGTGTTAATTTACACATAGCAAGTTTTGGGTGGGTTGTGTGTAATTGCCTTTTTTTTGGTTAAATTTATATTTGTACATAAAAAATATGACCGCACAAATCTTGAGGAAGTTCAATGGATTTCACTAAGAAGACACCAAAAAACTATATGAGGATGGTTGGAAGATGAAGATGTAAGCGCAATTTTCTTCCGTCAAAATAGTGGGTCGATTGAACAAAAGTATGGCCAAACAAAAGAGCATTATGCACCTGACTTGAGGAACAACCATTTGTGTACTTGACATGAGGGTCAACCATTTGTAATTAACTCTCTCAGCTGAATCTGAGATTATTTACAAAGAAGACCAAAAGGCTCCGCATTGAATATCTTTCCAATCTTCTATAAAGGCCCCTTATCCCAAGGAGAGATGCCCATCATATTACAATGATACACCCTCAGCCTAGTCTAAGTTCGTCCTAACGACAAGAGAGCCTCTACTGAGGATTCTCTCAAAAGGTAAATCGAAAACCTTCTAGCCAGTTGAACGATTATTAGGCGACCGATTGTTACGAATATGAAACGGTCCCAAAGTCAATTACAGATATTAACGGGTCCTGAAATCAGTTGTCAATATGAAAATGTGTAAAGATGTCATAATTACTTATACCATCCTTATTAAAATAGTGATAAACGTGTAATATTACTAGACACTCATATAATTTATAAATATGGGAGGCATTCCTTCAAGAAAAAGATTATTGAATTCATTGTTAGAGTATGTTATAATACACTATACTTTCCTCTTTCTATCTCTATTCTTCTCCTTTGTCCTACGCTCTACTTTTTAGTTGTGATCCACAAGACATTTTTCGTTCCAACAACATTCAATTTTTATCCAATGTAAAAACATATAATCGATGCCCCTTTATCTAGGCGACTTAAGCGAGTTAATATAAGTTTTCTTGAAACATGTTTACAAATTTTTAATTATTCATTAAAGGTTTACGCACCATTCAATTAATATATTTACATATCTATCAAATGCAATTTTTATATAAATGGCACATTGCTTATGCATGAAAATGTGAATTTCACTTTTTTTTTTTTTTAATAAATGGTGATATTTTTTGTGTGATATGAAAGATATGGGTGGTACATAGGGGTGTAAACGAGCCGAACATGAGCGAGCCTAGGCTTAGCTCGTGTTCGGCTTGGTTATAGTGCGTGTTCGGGTCGTTTACTTAGCGAGCCAAACACGAGCCGTTCACGAACAAAGAGGCATTTTAACAATCCTAATGACATAACCATAAGATGTTAAAGATTGAGGCAAGATTTAAAACATCAATTGAATCTAATTTAATAATCTTTATTCTATTTTCTTCATTAATACTTTTAATTGATTATAAATCTTTGTAGCCTTGTAGTCAATTAAATTTTTTAAAAATACTACTCATCAAATTTATATATAATTATTTAGTAGCATTTCGAGCCAAAACGAGCCGAACACGAACGAATAAATATTGTTCGTGTTTGGCTCATTAACTTAGCGAACGAGCCGAACACGAGCTGTTCGCGAACAACGAGCCATTTTGACACCCCTAGTGGTACAAATATAAAAAAGGTAAAGTTTAGATACTAGATGTGTGAATATATAGGAATTGAGGGGTATGTACGTAAATGCCCCTAAATAAGTTTACCCATAAATATATAGTATATGAATTCTGCATACAACAGCCTGCATTAATGATGATCACCTAATTAGATTTTGACATTTTGAATAAAATGTATTTCTTTCAAAAGCCATACTTTTGTATTTATAAAAAGGACCAATTGAGTCGGAATTAAATACATAGATGCATTACAATTTGGTACATATTGAATAAATTAAATTGATAAAATAAATAAATAAATAAAT